CAGCCTGTGTTTGCTCTTTAATACATTTTTTTTTCTGAAACCAAACTCCGAGTGCATGACAGAGACAACATAATAAACCTCCCCAGGGTTTCAAGCCATTAGCGTTCAATCTCGGGCAATTTTCACAGAGGGCAGGATTCATAGGCGTCTCCCTGGGGAGAGGACACTGAGTCCAAGGGAGAAGGATGAAAAGCCCCATTACTCACTTTTCAAAAGAAAGAAGCATCGCAGATTTGATGTCTATGTAGAATTTCGAGCTCACCCGGGCACTTTCCATATCCTCTGTCCCGCTTCTCATCTGGAGTGAGTACTTAGACGCTGGTCCTATTGTTGGGTCCATTTTGCCCTTTTCCAGCAGGAGAACTCTTGTGTTTTTGTGCTGTGGTCTCTTGACTGACTTTAAGGTCCTGGCAAACATCCACTTTGTTATTGGAGAATATTTTAGGCCCTGCAGATAATTTTCTTTAGATCACGATTTAGTAGCTCTATAGGTCTGAGTCGACGTAGAAAAAAACGTGATCTAGAAGAAATAGTGCTGGATTCCTGTGAATTTTCTATTCTGGAGCTCCCTCTCGCGTGCTCTTTCTCTCTCTCTCTCTCTCCCCCTCTTTGTCATATTGTCCAACATAGTCCCTTTGCTCAAAGCAACTTAGTGACTATTTCAGAAACACCTTGCTTATTTTCATTTAAGATAAAGTCTGAAACTCCTTCCCAAAGCCTTGCAACTGTTAAAAGGGAACAGAAAGCTGTCAGCCTCTCTGATCCTGATGGGAAGAAGGTGTATTCTAAGTGCGGTTGAAATAACTCATTTCCCAATTCTGCACAGTATGGATTTAATCGGCTAAGACTCAAGAGACCTTTTCTTTCCCCCCTTCCTCTAGAGCAATGGTTCTCAACTAAGGGCAATTTTGTAAGCCACCCCAACACACACACACACACACACACACACACACACACCCCTGTCCGAGGACATTTGGAAATGCCTGGAGACGTTTTTGATGATCACACTGGGGGCGGGGTGCTACTAACATCTAATGAGTAGGGAGGGGCTCGGGACTACAGTACACAGGACAGTCCCTACAACACAGCAGTTAAGGGAGTCAGATCCCACAGATCCCACCATGGTTAGAATCTTGGCCCCAGAGACTTGAAGAGCATGATGGGTGTGTGTGCATGCATGCCCAAAATTCCAACGGGAAGGAGGAGTGGAGGAAAAAGGACTGGTGGCCTGATCACACCCCACTGGCAGGTTCTTGCTTTCTCTCTCCCCTCTCCCTCTCCGTTTCTCCGGAGAGACCAAAAAGAAAAAAAAAAATTATTCAGTCCAAAATCTTAATACTGCTATACTGCTGAGGCTGAAAAGCCCTGCTTTGAAACAGAGGCCTCTTATTCTGGCTGTACATTCGAATCACCTGTGGACTTTTAAAACATCAGATGTCCAGGTAATCCCGAGACCATAACACAGAATCTTTGTGCAGAAGTGGCTGCAGAACTTGTGGGGCCCAGTGCAAACTAAAAATGTGGGGGCCTCATTCAAACGTTATTAACAATTGCAAGATGGTGGCACCAGAGGATTGAAGCAAGTGTAGGGTCCTGTTTGACTACACAGGTCTCAGATCCCCGAGACTGACCTCGTTCTGGGGGACGGCCCAGCTTGCCATAGTTTTCAAAGCTTTCTGAGTGATTTCAGCAGGTAGCCGAGATCGGCCCCACTGCCTTCACTCCTTGCCTCTGTCTCTTACCGCGATCACCCTATGCACACGTATGACTCATCTTGGAGCCCCCTAGTTAGTACATGCTGACTGAACACAGCCGAATAAAGCGCTATAATGCTATTCCTTGTTTTCACCAATTACAAAGTCTTACACGTATGTAGGACATTTTGGCTTTCCAAGGGGCTTTGACATCCATGCTTCCATTTGCTCTCACGTGAGTCCTGCAGACGCGGGGCAAGGGTATGCAAGTTCACCTCGTGTGTAGAAAAAGAGGCAGGCTCAGAGAAGGTCCACGTCCCACCCCCGTGAGTCGGGGCAAGGCCTCTGACCAAGTCTACAATTACTTTCCACATGCAGCTACTGGAATGTCCTCACCTCCTTGGCAGGCTTCCACATACAGTGTGTGTGCCCGTTGCCGGCATGTGGCATGAAAATTGGTGGCCCAGGAAATGAGCTATAAAAAACACATGTTTATTCATGTATTTAAATATGTATTGAGACCGAAGTAGTTAGCTTACGGCTGCAGGAGAGGCTAGATCCAAATTCTAAAAGTGAGCTGTGTCAAGGAAAAACATTAAATAAATGACACAGAGGCGGTGCAGCGATATGATAAAGCTTGTGACATACCTACTCAAATGACTGAAATGCGAGAAACGCTTCTCTAAAGTTTTCTAATCTATCGTGAAGGTCCAGTGATATGGTATTGTGAAAGAGCTTTGTGAGCAGACGGAGCGCTAACGGGCTGGTTATCTGCGTGCCCTACCCCTGAAACCTGCTCCCAGTGCACCCCCCAGTTGCTCCACACTGAGTCTTGGCACCTTACTGGGCTCTGCTGGATGCAGAGGATGACACCGTAGACACCATGTGACCATGCTTGGTGGAAGGACAAAAAATACATAAAATGAGATCTATGGAACCCCTCAGTCTGGCAGTCTGGCTTAGTTTTCTTCATCATGTATATCAGGTTCGAAGATAAATTCCCAAATTATCTGGAAAAGTGATAAGTTTGCAGCAATGACTGATCCATTCTCTGTCCAGGGTATGTACAAGTACCCTCTTTTATATCTATTTAATGGGACTTCTTGCAGCCATGAAACAGGACGAAGGTCACATATTCTATTGACATTCAAAGCGATCTGTGTTAAGTGAGAAAAGAAGTCTTTAGAACTGCAGCGTAGGACATTCTGACAGGAGGGGAAAAAGAGAAGGAGGCACTTCTGAAAAGACTGGCCATGGGGTGATCGGATTGGATTTGTATTTTTTACTTCTAGATTATCTGTCATGTCTCATTTTTCTATGATGGACCTAGAGTACAAAGTCAAGAAGCAGTAAGAAAACTTTTCAAACACTCTTGTACACGAAATATACCAATTCTGCTCCAGGAGGACACTATTTCCTGAGGCCATCAACACACGGGAGTCAACATAGGAGCAAAGATGGAGGACGGTAGGGATAGGAAAGAACCTTGCAATGTGTGAAGCCCCAAACACATATGAAGTATTCTGAGCTGGAACCAGAGGGCTGAAGGAGGGATAGGGCAAGACTCCGGGGACTTGCTGCTGGTAACTGGGGAGAGGCTGGGTATGAGAGGTCTGGAGAATTTGTCACCCCCATATTGGATTTCTCTCCAGCTGGTTTCAAGACCATGCCAAAGAAGTGTTCTGTGGTCTTGATGGCCTTGGATTTTAGGTCAAACATCTTTGTGAAAATATCATGGGAAACAGCTTTGGTTTGAGGTTTGGGATGGGTATATTTGCTTTCTCTCTGTGCCGTTTGTTTTTACAGATTACATTTTCTTTACGTTTCTGGTTATATGCTTTTTTCTCCTCCCTTAATTTTTATTATGTATTTCTATAGCAGGAGACAGCCTCCTCTAACAGAGTCTTCACACCACAATCCACCCCCAGCCTCTGGCCGGCTCAGGGACATCCCAGGATATGAACCCATGTGGGTCTATTGTGTTACCACCCACCCTACCATCCATATTATTTAAATACAGAGACTCACTCTGTCACAATCTGCCTCAGTTTCCCAGCTGGGACTATAGATGTGCACCACCATGCCTGGGTCCCTTAGGGTCACTGTTACGTCACCCAGGCCAGCTTCGAGTTCACAACCCTCCTCCCTCAACCTCGCTGAGGCACTGGATTGTAGGCACTGGCCACTGTGCTTGCCTGGGCCGGGAATGGTCTGGGGCCTCCCGCGAGGGCCCTGCGTAGGGAACACAACGTCTTTGCAGCATGTGTTGCTGCAGCTGGGCCTCTGCGTGTGCTTTTTCAACAGCACTTTTAACTTTCTGGTTGTCAGAGGTTATAAATACTCTGAGCTGGGAAGCTTTCTGACAGGAATTTCATAATCGGGGCCCTTTATTTTCAGTGGTTTTTTTTTTTTTTTTTTAGGCTTCTAGCAATATGTAGAAATATGCATTCATTTGCATAAATATGGGAGGACACCCATCAGCTGCTGAGAGTATGTATTTCTGAGAAGGAGGCTGTCACCGCAAGGGGACAACAGAGGGCCTCTCCGTTTATGTGTGTATTCCCCTTACCTGTGAAGTGTTGATTTCCTCTATTACCTATGCCCCATATGCTAAAACCATGTAAAATACAATAGGAAGCAAGTAGACTTGGATATTTCTACTGAGGCCCTGAATACCTCTGAGTATCCACTCAGAGCGATGGATGCGAGGAATGCAGGAGTGTAGAGGAGAAAGTAGGCTTGGAAGAGAATTGTTTTAACATAGAGACTTTAAAAATGTCAAAATATTGGCCAACAGGGGGAACCAGCAGTTAGCGTAATGGCTATGTCTCTGGACTCCCACGTAGTCGACTGCGGTTCACTTCCTGGACCCGGTGGCTTAAAACTCACGCCGGGCGCGTGTGCGTGCGTGCCCAAGATCCTGAGAGGAGAATGGAGGAGAAGGGATTGCTGCGTGACCATCCCCCCTGGGGGGTGATTTCTCGCTTTCTGTCTCTATGTCTCTCTCTGTCTGTCTGGCGAGCGCATGCGCCCTATAGCAAAAATCTCTCCAAAAAGAAAAATATATATATTGGCCAACTGCTGTGTGGGGCAGGACCACCTTCGGTGATGCTGAGGCCACACAGAGGTCTGGCATTTGCACCCCACGTGCTTCCTGTGCATGCCGGACATGCACAGCATGAAGACCCAGTTGGGTACCTGTCTCCTCTCTCTCTCTCATGGAAAAACTAAACTAAGAACAAAACACCAAAAACTGTTACAACATTTACACTGTGGTTGTCTGGCTGAGAATCGGGACACACTTACCTGTGACAATCTGTCGTCCTCAGAAGAAGCGTCCTTACCCCACTGTAAATAGCCAACATCACTGCGGGCCAGGACCCCATGGAAGATTTCCTGAGACTCTCCTTCCTCGCAGCCGTTGAAGACGTGCGGACTTGCTCTTCCAGTTAAAATCAGGTTCAGAACTGCCTAAATGGCCAATTTTAAAAATAGTTACATTTTAGGTAGCTATAAAATAAAGACAATTATTTTTTGAGAGATCTTTGCTATAGGGCGTATGCACTCTTTGGAGAGACAGAGAGTGAAAGTGAGAAATCACCCCCTAGAGGAGATGGCCTTGCTGCAACCCCTTCTCCTCCATTCTCCTTTGAGATTTTTGGGCATGTACACAAACACACACCCAGGGTGTTTCAAGCTGCCAGGTCTGGGACTTGAACCACAGTGGGTCATGTGGCAGTCCAGTGCCTTAACCACTACACCATGGCCCTAAGACTTAATTTTTTAAAGTGATCATTAAAAATTAATATTTTTACCAAAATGATGAAAAGTACAGAATATAGGATAATGGAAAAAAAGAAACTATCCTAAACATTCAGTGAAGTGAAAACAACAGTTGATTGACTTTTCCGTGAACCTTACCTCGTAACTCCCCCTGTGCCCCACTCTGATCCAATTGCCCTCTGCCCCTTACACTTCTTTCAAATGTGATTTCCATGTTCGTGATTAAAGAAGCCTGAAGTTGAGATGTTTGATAAAGTGTTTTTCTTTCTGTTGTTAGTAATTTCTGGTGGGTCTTGTCAAGACATTTTCTAATGTTTCTAGAATCTCAGGGATGTTGGGCTCCCTGAGTTAAACTAGGAGGAGCTGTAATGAAAATTGGAAGGTAGATTCTGATAAACTCAGGATAGCATCTTCTTAGTCTTTCAAGGATAATTTAGTCACTCTTTGCTGAAAGAGAGAATATGCTTAACGAGAAAACAAGCCTAATTCAGATTCTGCGGTAGAAAGGCGAAGTCTTCCAACCCACCTGCCTGCACAGGAAACCTCCAGCACTTGGCTGTAGCAGCTGAGTGGTGGTGACATCCAGGTCCTCCTGCAGCCTGTAGAATGCCAGAAGTTCAGCACCCAGTCAGGGACAATTACCACCCTAGAAACCTGTAGCCTCTCCTCCCTCCATCCCTGACCTGAAACCGCAGGAATGGTCTTGCCTGGTTCCTTTCCCTCGGGTGTGTCTTGTGCGTTCCCATCTCTCACAAGGACGGTATCTAGGACTGGGGCTACAGAGGTGATGAGAGAGGATGTGGATGCAATTGGGAGAAGATACAGACATCTGATGCATTGAGATCCCTGTGTGTGTGTGTGTGTGTGTGTGTGTGCGCGTATGGCCTCATGCATGCAGTGGGTAGGTGCTGGACTTAGAGAAGATATTTGCTCTCTGGGATGATGGATGCTTGGCTGAGTGGGGTCACACAACCACAAGAGAGAGAGAGAGTTCTGGTCCAAGGAAAGGTTGAAAAGACTGTTCAAATGGAAAATCCCAGAGTGGCTGCTGAGCCCATTTCTCAACTGCAAAAGGGGTAGCCTCCACTGTTCCAGGTCAGGGACCAGCAGCTGGAGTCCCAGCCTTGACAGTAGAAGGTCAAGGTAGAAGGGGGCTCTTGCTGTCATCCAGGGGTAAATGCTAAGAAGTACTGTGCGTGAGCTGTGTGTGCTCTTGAGCAAACCGACTCATGGGAGTAGAGGTCATGGTCTTCTGTGAGCAAGGACTGAAGACCTGTCAAGTGCAGCAAGGGCCTTGGAGGCACCAGATATAAGTCAGGGCAGTGTTCCACCATGTTAGGTGATATTGCTATGGACATTTAAAAATTTTATGAGTTGGGACCAGCAGTTGGTGTAATGGCTATGTCGCTGAACTCCCATGTAGTTGACTGTCGAGTCCTGGACCTGGTGGCTTAAACTCACGCTGGGTGCGTGTGCGTGCGCGCCCAAGATCCCAAGAGGAGAATAGAGGAGAAGGGATTGTGGTGTGGCCATCCCCCCTGGGGGGTGATTTCTTGCTTTTGTCTTTCTGTCTCTCTCTGTCTTTCTGGTGAGCGCAAGTGCCCTATAGGAAAAACCTCCCCCCCCTAAAAAAAATATTAGTCATGTGTTTATTTTAGTAAATACCTTTAGCATAGTAAATGACTTAAAGGATATTAATATCGGGTTATCAGGAAAGTCATGACATACTTTATTTCCATGCAAAAATGCATCATGACTTTTCCAGCTACCCAATACTTAGGAAGAGATTGATATGTCAATATTGTTGACTCAAAAGAATTGTTAAGTAAATAATAATATAGCCCATAAAGTAGTGGCAGTGGTATGGGAAAGGTAAGTTTCAGAAACATTGCTTCAGGCTAGAAATGTTTTTCTTCTGGGAGTCCTCTATGTCTTTCTCTGATTTGCAAAAGCTTGCATTTCTTTCACAGCCCAGAAGGAAGTCCATTTCCTCTGTGAAACTTTCCCTGACTACTTCACTTTCTGCTGGAGACCTACCTCCTCTGGATACACAAGACTTTCTTTTCACGTCATTTAGCACACCAGGTGCCACCCGGGGCTAGCCCAGTGTCTTTGCATGAACACCTCAGCCTTTTCCACACAGGAACTCGCAGGAGGCCAAGGTCATAGCCTCTCTTATTTGTACTTCCCACCGTGCCAAAAACATGCCTTTGCATACAGTAGGGACAAAACAGTTATTTGAGGACACACATACACACAATAACACAAAAATATGTGTGTGTATCCTCAAATAACTGTTTTGTCTCTACTGTCATGACATTTCTGACAACCTAATATATTTTAGTTTTTTAATTTGCCAGAAGGTGCATGTGCTTGCTAGAGAGAGAGAGAGAGAGAGAGAGAGAGAGAGAGAGAGAGAGAAAGAGAGGAAGAAGAAGAAAAAGAAGAAGAAGAAGAAGAAGAAGAAGAAGAAGAAGAAGAAGAAGAAGAAGAGAGCAAGTAGAAAGAGAGAAAGAAAGTGAGAAAGCACCTCTCCCCCCCGATAGGAATGGTCACATGGCAATCCCTTCTCCACTTCTCCCTCCTTTCAGGATTTGATCACACACGCACAGGGGCCCAGTGTGGCTGCCAGGTCTGCAACTTGAACCACGTAGTTGGCCGTACAGTATCCAGCTGACTTAACCACCACAGCACAGGTGGGCCCTGAGGATACTTTTTATTGCTCATCTAGATAATAACATATATTTAATTATGAACTTGTTCAAATAAGCTTTTGCGTTATCTGTCAATATTTGCAACACAAGAAGGAGGGAGCCTATGACTGCCCTGCAAGAGTAGATTCAGACTTGACTAATGATGTGTTTGCCCATTCATATGGCCAAACCTACTGCAGAAAAGGGTGTGTCAATGGAAGAATGTTGTCTAGAAAAAAAAATGCACTCATGTTTCCAACAGAGATGAAAATTCTTTCCAACCCAAGTCTACCTTTAACGTGATTCCAACCCTAGAGAAAATACCTTACTTTTCAAATGTTCTGGAGAAGATCAGGCTGTAGAGAAACAGGATGACACCATGGCTTCCTTCTCCTTGAAACTGTTTGAAAAACAGAAGAAAAGCACATTTGCCTAAAAGCAATGCAGACACGTATATCCGTAGGTAGGAATTCAAAGATCTACAGTGTGACAGTTGTGTTGTCCACACTGCGGCTGTTTCTCTGAGCTGCTGGGAGTACAGAATTCTTTCTGCTTCCCTGTGTCTACTCAAATGTACACTCCTTCCATGCTTTGCCTGACAGTGGTACCATCATTCTCTTGGTCTTCAACTTATCCTTCTGTCCTGTACTTCTTACCGTGTGAGTATCTCCCAATGACGTCTAAGATATATGTATCTTCCCTAATCCAGACTCCCAGTGCAACTCTTGACCGGCCTTCCTATCCAGTCTCTTCACTTGGTGCACCTCCTCATTGCTCCATTAAACTCAATGCACAGGGCAGAAAGGCTTTATAGAAAGAGCTTTGGAGTTATAGGTTCTATGTTAAAAACTAGTCCTACTACTTACTAACTCCTACTTGCAAACTCGAGTTTCAGTCTTATCTGCCATCGCAGCCTTTTCCCCAGGCTTGTAGTAAGTTAGATGAAAAATAAGGGCACTATACCTACATTGGTTCTTGGAACGTGCTAGGTCTGCAGCAAAATTAGTATCTGTCCCTCTTTAAGGCACTTGTCCCCTCTTTTCTACTTAGAACTTTCTGAAGGTGGGGCTGGCCCCAGAGTGCAGCCATTATGCAGAGAAAGCTGGTTTCCCACAAAGGTGACTGTGGTTCAAATTCTAGCCCTGTCAGCTTGGAAAACATGCCAGGTGCATGTGTTGTATGCCCCAAACCCTGATGGATAGAGAAATGGAGGAAAAAGGATTGCAGTGTGACCATGCCCATTGGGGATGCCTTCTTACCTTCTCTCTTCCTCTCTCTCTGCCTGGTAATCATACATGCCCTCTAATAATTAAAATATATGGGGCCACAAGACTCCCATATGATTTGAGTCCTGGACCTGGAGGCTTGAAAATCATGCTAGGAACGTGTGCATGCATGCCCAAAATCCCAGGGGGGAGAATGGAAGAGAAGGGATTGTGGTGTGGCCATCCTCCCAGGGGGTGTTTTCTTACTTTTCCTCTCATTGTATCTGTCTCTCTCCAGAGAGTGCACACCTCTAGGACAAAAATCTTTAAGAAAACAAGCAAGCAGGACCAGCAAATGGTGTAATGGTTAAGTGGCTGGACTCCCACGTGGTCGACTGTGATTCAGATCTGCCCATTTCATGATCTTTCATTTAATTACAACTGCAACGTCCCTTTATGTATTCTGAGATTAGGATGTGGACATCATCCAGCCTATCTAGTGAGGTAGCTGCCCTCTCTGTCAGTTGATTGAAGACATGCTTAATATAGGCTCTCTGTGGCCAGATATTCAGTTTTTTTTTTGGGGGGGGTGTATAAGTAAAAAAAAAAATCCATGTTTTTCTGGGAAATTTTCTGGTTATTGACCTTCACTGATTCAAATTTTGAAACACACACAACACAGTGTAGACTAATGCTACAGATCATATGTGACAGGTGCATAGTTCTTGCCATAACACATAAGCAGCTTTTTGAAAGGCTTAAAACAGTAGGATTCCATGGGGCCCAGCAGGTGGCATGGTGGTGAAGGTGTTGGATCCCACATGGCTGATTCTGCAGTTTGAGTCCTGGACCTAACAGCTTGAAAAACATGCCTGACATATGTGTGTGTGTTTGTGTGTGTGTGTGTGTGTGTGTGTGTGTGTGTGTGTGCAAAAATCCCAAGAGGAGAATGAAAGAGAAGGGATTGTGGTGTGGCCATCCTCCCCGGGAACGATTTCTCACTTTTCCTTTCTGTCTCTCTCTCCAGTGATCATATATGCCTTATGGCAAAAATCTAAGCAAAACAAAATAGGAATCCATTTTCTTATAATCCTGGAAGTTGGATGTCTGAAATCAATGTGTTCGAGGAGGACCTGCTCTCTGTGAAGACCCTACGGAGGGTCCTTCATATTCTGGGCTTCTGGTGGCTGCCAGCAATCCTTGATGTCCTTGTCTTGTAGACAAATGACTCCAATCTCTGCCTCTGTTAACACATGAGATTCTCCCTGGGTGTCTGTCCATTCCAAATTTTCCCTTCTCATGAAGACACTAGTCATTGGCTTAGGGTCCTCTCTAACCCAGACCTCATCCTACCTTGGTTACATCTGAAAACTCCTTGATCTCAACTAAGACCACATTCACAGGTACTGGGGGTAAGCATTTCAACATGTCTTTTCTGGGAGACATAATTCAACCCATAGCAATAAATCTATCACCCACATGTAGCCCCTAGACCTCTAGCTAGAGATCTCAGCCCAAATGGCAAGGGACACAGGATGATGATGCATGTAGATAGAGAGCGAGGTTTGGTAGAGGTCTGGATTGCAAGGTACTGTTACGTTTACAGTGTAATACGGTAATGTGATGGGTGCTGGTGACAACACACAGCCCCAGCTGGGAAGAGGCTCTCGAGAGGAAGTTCCCGCTCACTCAGGCAGTAGTATCAGTCCTTTCACAGTGTAGCTAAAGTAATGGTCAGCCTGGGTCTGCTTGATGTGGTGGCTCTTGTGCCAAGCCCACCTGCACTGTGGGGTCCCTTCTGCTTAGGGCTTCTATTACTTATTCTAGCTCAACTCGTAGTCTTTGGCTGGGAATGAATGGGATGGAGAGAGAGAGAGAGACAGAGAGAGTGAGAGGGAGAATATCCACAACAGAGTCTTCATATTATAATCCACCTTTAGCTTCAGCCCGCCCGAATGACAGGCATGCATGCAGGCACTCAGTGTCACCAGATACAAACCTGGGGCCTTCCCAATGGGTCCAGTTGCTTCACCTCTTGCACCACCATCTGGCCCCAAGGCACTCTTCTCCTGTCACATCTCTCAGTCTTCTTGTTCTGCCTCTCCCTTTCACATGTAAGAACCATTGTGATAACACTGCCCCCCCCCCCAGTAATCCAGGTTACTCTTCCTATTTTCCAGTTGGCTGGTTAGCAACCTTAATTCCCCTTTGCCATGTAACACAGCATACGTATTCCTAGGGTCCAGGGATAGAGTCTGGACATCTTTGGGGACCATTCTTCTGCCTCCCATTCAGGTTACAACAGAACTATGAGTTGGCAAGGGAAGTAGGGTTGTTGAAAAGCCATAGTGCATTTTTTAAAATTTATTCTTTTTAGAGAGATTTTTGCTATGGGCACATGCTCTTGCCAGAAAGACAGAGACACAGAAAGAGAGAAATCACCCCCTAGTGGGGATGGCCACACCGCAATCCCTTCTCCTCCATCCTCCTCTCAGGATTTTGGGCACATGCGCCCATATGCTGGCATGAGTTTCAAGCCACTGGGTCCAGGAATGGAACCATGGTTGGTCATGTGGGAATCCAGTGACATAACATTACACCATCTGCTTGTTCCAGTAGAAAGACAGAAAAATGCATCATAGCTTTCCCGATGACCTAATTGTTTAACCAAGATGGCATAGCTAGTGTGTGGCTCGGAACTCAGGCCCACGTTTTCTGCCTCTCTAGCTTTTGAAAGGAATAAAGCAGCAAGATTCACCGATCACATCGCTCTCCTCTGTACCATCTACAGAAGTGTGGCCTCATGGTCACCCTGCTAATTGTCATCTACTTTCACATCATAGGTTCCTATTCTTCAGAAAATCAGCTTTCTTTTCTTTCTTTGCTTAGGAATCTTGAAAGGACACCTGCCATCCCCCACCGTCACTGTTGGTTAATGTCGTTCCCTCCTGACCCTGGGGTGGGGACAATCACACTATGGACACTAGAAGGTGCTGACAGAAGAGATGAATTGCAGCCGTCTTCTTCAGGCCAGAAGTTGTGTACTTGAACTCAGTCTGAGTGGTCATTTTGAAGCTTAGATGAGGGTCTTAATTTTTTTTTTTTTTATCATTTTGGTTTTCTAACCACTAAAGGAGGCAAGATTGCTTTAACGGTTTCTCTGCCCTCAAAGACGTACTGGTATCTTCTCTCTAAAGTATTATTCTCTGAATTTGATCAACCAAAGAAAAAGAGTCACTTGTGAGTGGGTCTCTGTGATCTGGCCTCTTTTTAGATTGTGGGGATTCAGGCCAGAAGTTGTGTACTTGAACTCAGTCTGAGTGGTCATTTTGAAGCTTAGATGAGGGTTTTAATTTTTTTTTTTTTATCATTTTGGTTTTCTACCCACTAAAGGAGGCAAGATTGCTTTAACGGTTTCTCTGCCCTCAAAGACGTACTGGTATCTTCTCTCTAAAGTATTATTCTCTGAATTTGATCAACCAAAGAAAAAGAGTCACTTGTGAGTGGGTCTCTGTGATCTGGCCTCTTTTTAGATTGTGGGGAGGGAGAGTCAGGCTCCTCTTTCTCTCGTTCCACCCTTCCTTAGCCCTCAAAATGACCTGGTTTTCTTAACAAGCATCATTAGAAACAGACTTTGTAAAAGAGAGAAGATCTCTGTAAGATCAGTGAAATATGAAGGAATTATCTCAACCCTTAAACACTTACACATTGTAAATGATCATAGATGAATTTCTCAGTGGCTTCTTTCTCTAAAAATTCAAACAGCTGGAGCTATAAATCAGAAATGGAAGATAAAAACGAAAGGGAAGATGAAAGTTACATCTAAGAGACGTCAACTCACTGCTATTATCTCAGGGGAGTTTTCTTTTTTTGTTTCATTTTGAAATCACGTTGCTAAAAACTGACATTATTTTACGCAAGGCCATCCAAAGCATACTTAGGATAACTGGGCAGCTACCAGGACCACGTTTATGCTCTTCAGTTTGAAATCAGTATATCTTGAGCAGTAAAACCATCAACAGATTATTTTTTTAAGAGGTAGGACGAAGCTATCTTTAAGACAGTGGATATGGAAATATAGTTTATAATGACTTCGGGCACAGGATATTCTTTTTTATTTTTCTTAAATAACCATCCTCACTACATTGACAAGTACTTTTTAAAAAATAATTATTTTATTTTCATTTATTTATCATTTGACCACAGAGGGAGCAGATGAGAGAGTGAGAGAAAGTGAGAAAGCAAGCTGCCAGGTCCGGAAGCCCAGTGCCCTTAACCACAGCGCCACCTGCTGGTCTCATGGCATGGGATATTCTTGATCACAGTGAATTCTGGGCAGGCTCTCCACCTTGGTGGCTGAGATCGCTAACAGCCCTTGGTACCTGCCCCTGGCCCATCAGGCACCTACAGGAACATCGGTGGGGCTCTAGCTCCTTCTCACGGTGGGTTGGGTGCTAACAGAAGCTTCACTGGCCCTCTGTGTGGCAGGAGGGGAGGAGTGCTCTTACCCGTTCAGTGAATCCATCTCCGGAATAGTCAGGCGTGGAGGTAACAGAAGCGTCCTCAGAGAAAAGGCAGACGGTGGCCTTCTCAGCTGTTCCTGCAGCCCACAGGATGCCCGTGAGCGCGGCGGCCAGGGCTCGTTCCTGCTCCTGCTTGCTCACTGCACGTAAACTACAACACAGGAGGCTGGTGAGAAACCATGGCAGTGACGGCTGCCTCGCCATGTGCTGGGCCTCCAGTTTGAAATGAGGCCGGTAGTGGTTCCTTCATCAACCTGCAGTGTGAGAACGTCACTGGAGGGCCTTGCCCTTCCTCTGCTGTGACTGCTACTACAGGATAGGATTTCTCTTTGTGCCCTCGGCTGTCCTACCCTGCATGCTGTCATCCCCAAGGAGTCCCAACATTGTCCTCTCTGCTGAGCTCCAGCAGGGATCAATCCAAATTCTTTGACCCAATAGAACAGGCCCTTGCAGGCTCAGCCCTGAGCCATCCTTGCAGTTCTATCTCCCCGGTTTCCACTTTGCAAACCCTCCTGCCAGATGGATCAATCTCCCGAACACACTTCTCCATTCCCCCTCCTCGCCTGAGCTCATGTATTTGTGCTTTTAGGGTCCACACGTCTGTCCTTTCTGCCCAGTCATGTCCCCACCTCAGAGGAGGCCAACTTCAGATCACTTCTAGTCTGTAGCCCGTACTCACACAGCACTCACTGCATCCCTAAATACATCATGCAGTCATCTCCCTTAATTCCCCATACAACTGTGCATGGTAGCTATTACTATGACTCCCACTTTAGAGATGAGAGAAATAAGAGAAGTGAAATGATTTGCCCCTGGTCATTCATCTTCCGAACAATAGAGCAGTGGCGTGAACTCGGGCCATCTGGCTCCTGAGTCCCTGCTCTGAAGCACGATGCTAGACCAAGTGTTCTCAGAGCCTGCAGACCTTCCCCAGAAATGGGAGCCAACCATTCCATGGCACCACTTCGCTCCACTTGCTTTCTAAATATCTCACGTGGACAACTGAGGTCTTTACAAGGAAACACAGGATAGGAATTTATTAATGACCTCAGCAGTGATTTAGATAACCCACCTGCAATAGCTTTCGCGAGGCAGAAATGCAGAGTGAGGAGGCGAATACTACAACCCCTCGTCAGAGCTAGAATACGAATCAAAGTGTTGTGCGAGTGCAGAGGAGGGAGAAAGAACTCGGGCCTGGGAGTGCCCAGGAGGGCTTTATGGGCAGGTCTACAGGGGCAGTTACTCATTCACATTTATTTCGTATTTGCCACAGGCCAGGAACTGTGCTAAATGCTTTTTCCATTTGTGACAAGTGTTGCGTGTGTTCCATTTGGAGTACCTGGAATTCTTCACTCAGGTGATGGCCATGCCCCCCGGTTGCTCCTGGTATAGCAGCTAGTGGCTCCTGTTTTTCCACTCTATCTGGAGGATTGAGCCACCATGGCCGGCGGTATCGAGGAGTATGCCCTCCTCCACTGGCCCATAGCCAATGACCGACAGCGGTGGGAGGCCCAAGCCCTGTTCCCTGCCTGAAGAAGGGACAGACCATGCAGTACAGTGTACCTCTGGCCTCAGGTGGACACCATTAGAAATCACATTCTTCTTTAGCTGCCTTTCCGCCCCTTCCCACTTCTCTCACTCACTCACAGTTGTCTCTTGGGGCAAGCCCTTACTAAATCACTTGCCTAAAAGATCTCTATGATGGGCTCTGCTTCTGGGGAACCTGGAAATTCATGACCATCGAATATATTACACATTTAGTTCCTGCTTTGGGTGATAACTTATCCTGCTAAGGGTAGATATATGCCTTCTACTTATTTACATTTTCTCTCCTAGCTAGGGTAGAGCTTTGCATGTGGTGGGGGTTTGTTAGCTTCTAAGAATAAAGTATACTGGGTTAAATGTGAGCTGGTTTTAAAAAGCAGGCAATTACCAATCACTGTGCCTTGCTGCCCTGGTGAAATAGGATTGACCATTTACACTGTTTATCATCCCTTTTATTCCTCTCTGAAGTTGTTAGGTTAGGGCTTCCCATCAAATATAGGTGATTGGACCACCTGAGACCTGGTGCCTAATTTTATCTGGCAGCATGGTCTGCAGTGGAACATAAAGCCTGTAGAGAGACCAGCAGTTAGTGTAATGGCTATGTTGCTGGACTCTCATGTAGTAGACCGCAGTTCAAGTCCCAGACCTGGTGGCTTAAACTCACTCCGGGCGTGTGTACATGTGTGCCCCAGGTCCCAAGAGGAGAATGGAGGAGAAGGGATTGCAGCGTGGCCATCCCTCTTGTTGGGATGTTTTCTCGCTTTCTGCCTCTCTGTCTCTCTCTGTCTTTCTGGCAAGTGCAGGCACCCTATAGCAAAAACCTCTCCAAAAAAGGGGGGAAAAAAAACCAACTGTAGACATTGTTTTTGCACCTGAACATTGAGAGTGACTGAGCAGAGCCCTCCTGAGCCCCAGTGTCCAGCCTCTCATTCTTAGGGGCAGATTTTCTCCCTGAGGCGAACTGGATTTTTCTGGGTGTGATCATTTTGCAGACAAGCCATCCAGTGAAGTGATGCTCTTCCCAGTATCTCTCACAATCCTCTCACCTGCCAAAGTTACGGTCTCTCCCCTTCGTGGTGAACAGCAAGTATCGGATGACAGATCCTTGCACAGCCATCTGAATGCTTCGGGCACCTCCCTGAAACAGGCAGGATGAGCAGTGACACGTGAGGACTGGGGGCCAGATCCACAGCTATGGCAAGAGTTCGAGCCAACCTCACATGAGAACTCTCAGAGATGGACATGGACGTACAGATCTCTGCAGCCTTTTCCCTCCTGGCATGGCACATCTCCTGGGGCTTAGCAAAGGGACACTGTACTGTATGTGTGACTCGCCCCTGCCTCCTGTGGGGCGTGGCTGGGCGCCATGGCCAGGCTAGAATCCGTGATGCTTAGCTGCTTTGTGGAGCCCCAGGGAGTGGCACCTGCAGATGTACGTCCTCCTCCATCCTCCCATCACTGAGCCCCCTGCTTCGTGTTAGACTCACATTTGTAGGAGCTAAAAAATTACTTAACTGATTTAGGTCTGACTGGTGACTGATGATATGAGTAACTGACATTTCCAATAAGTCAGAAAGTTCTTAGATTTCCTTGTCTTCTAAATCCTAGAGAATGCTTAGAAGTTGGAGAGAAGAAATAAGAAAACAAGAATAGGTAAATAGAAGGGAATGTGGGACTTAGTATGAAATGATTTTAAACAACTTGTTATCATTTGCAATGAAATTTGAAAGTGAAAGTGTTCCTACATATGGTTATAATGAAAACGTGTATTCAAGTGGCTGGAGAGGAACATGAGTGAGGGACTTGGGACTGGGGATGTTAACGTGATGAACTGCTGTTACCTTGCCCATGTCCAAAGCAAAAGCCAGGTCCGAAGAAGGATCGTGGAACCTGAAATAGGCCTTTCTCCAGTCAGAGCTGAAGACCTGGACTGTATTTCCAAAGAGGCTCTGCCGCAGCTTCTGAAAAGAAGGGGAGTATTAACGACTCAGTCAAAGAGAATTCTTCCTAGACCCGGTCCTCCTGGTGGAAGCCTGGAGGTGGGAACCCCTCGTCTCCTACATGCGGGCCTCCATGTTACTCTAGTCTTTAAATTAATTGCTTAAAGTCCTGGGCCAAAGATTCTCACCAGGTTCGCTTAGGATAGTTTATCCCGAAGGCTCCGTGTGTCCATCCAGCCCCTTGTCCCCATTCAGCTTCTCTCCCTGTGTCTCGGCTTCCGTCCACCATGGGCCGCTGTCCTGCTATGCTTCCTGCCCCTACCCCCTAAGACTCTGTCACCCATGCCTCTCCCATCTTCAGGTTTTTCTCTCTTGCTTCAGAAAAAGAGGAACAAACGGGATCCCAAGTGTAATAGCGATTTAAATGATATTAAACAGCATTCATGTCCTAGATCTCTGAAGTTTTTCTGGGTGCTCTGTAGCACATGAAGATTTAAGAGGATCTTTCAGAGTTCCAGAAAAATGGAAACATGTCTTTATAAACGAAACATATGAAATGAAAAGTAGGTACAGTTTTATTACCCTCCTTTTAACCAGATAAGGGAATCAAAGCACAGAGAGGTTAAGATATCTACCTTAGGTTCTCCAGCTAGGAGAAACAGGGCTATCGAGATTAACGCCAGTTCTCCGAACTGTTCAGTCTTGCATGCACCATATTTTTTATTTTTTTAATGAGCTATTTTTGATCATCAAATCAAGGATGTTACTACATACATCATTTTCAATAGGGAATTTTTACATTCTTGGATCTGTGCAAAGTTTCTTAAGTGTATCATCTTTATGATTTCTATACTTATTGTATACCAATCATTATTTATTATTTCTTTTGGCCAGTTTGGACTTTATTTATTTATTTGTTTGTTTTAGTTTGCTATAGGGTTCATGAGCTCACTGGAGAGAGAGAGACCCAGATGGGGGGCTGGCGATACCACAGTCACCTCTCCTCCATTCTCCTTTTGGAATCTTGGGCATGCACACATATGCATCCCAGGTATTCTTCAAGCCATTGAATCCGGGACTTGAACTGCTCAGTTGACCATGTGGGATTCAGTGGCCCCAACCTCCATGCTATCTGCTGGCCCTGTTTTTGATTTTTCAAAGACAGGGTCTTACAGTGTTTCCATCCTGCAGCCTCAGCCCTTGAATAGCTAGGACTCCTGGTGCATGGAAATCAGAGCCAGGTCTCCCGTGTGGCTTCAGCCCGCTGTGCAGCCAGAGTAAGCAGTGCATATTCTGGAGTCCGAGGCTGGGAAGGCCACCGTTTTGTAACTTAGATATATCTATTTTAAAAGGATACTCTATATTGCTTCATTGAAATGGAAGTCAAAATCACTGGCTATACTTGATTAAAAAAAAATAAGGAAAATAAAATAATGCTGTGAGTTACAGCTAGGAATGGTTGCCTATGAAAGCTCTGACCGAGCCCTGCACTCTTCGTAATTAACATAGGAGGTGAGAAGTATTAAAGAGGTGTGACGGTCACGGCCCTGGCTGTACTTCTCCTGGTCTGCCGAGTAGAGAAGGGGATACTTTTCTCTCTTGGTAACTCGATGATACGGAATGTGTTACTTAAGGCCACATCCCCAGAAGCACCCTGTGTCCCAGCCGAGCTCACGCCCCACACTGGGACAGACTTCACAACAGCCTGTCACCTTGACGGTGCGGAGGCCAGGCGGCAATCCATCAGACACATCAGTACCAACAGTGCCCTGGGGTGGGGAGCAAGCAGTTCAGTGTGACCGGAACTCTGTGTGTGTGTGTGTGTGTGTGTGTGTGTGTGTGTGTCTGGGGGGGTGTCAAGCAATAGAAAGGAAAATGAAAGCATAGACTAGAAAGCAACTTGGGCCTGGTCTGGAGGGGCTTTGAATATCATTTCCAGATACAATATTGGAACCAGCAGAAGAGTGTAGACAATGGAGCATGGAACCCAGTTAGTCCAGAACTACGGTCTCTCTTCCCAGCTGTGCAGAGAGCAGGCCCTGAGGGTTTCTAAAAAGGAACGCTGTAGGGGAAGCATGACATTGGAGTGTTCTTCCCCACCTCAGCCAGGGTCTGGTTTTATGGCTAGAGTTTATTTTCTGGCCATTTCTGATTGCACCATTGAAAGAAAAGGTTACCTCTCTCGAGAAATGGAGGCAGGGGAACGTCAGTGTGAACACGGGCGTGGTGACGTGCCTTGAGGTAAACTATCTGTCCTGGTTTCAGGGCAAGAGCACCAAGGAGAGGCAGCAAATCTGGACAGAGGCAGGTCGTGGAAGGCCCAGACGCAGTGTGTACTATGGCCAAAGAGGGCCGTCAGCCCAGAGCTCCAGGGAGGCGCTGTAAACCCACAGCATTTCCATGACATCATGGTGGCACAGTGCAGGAGGCTGACCACCCAAGGCCTGAGGAGCCCCAGCTTTACTCCTCATGGCGACATGAACTGGGACAAATGCTGGACCTTCCTGAGAAGTTATTTGCTACCACCAGAGCCCTCGGGGGGGGAGCGAGCAGTTCTGTGTGTGCCGGAATCTCTGTGTGTGTGTGTGTGTGTGTGTGTGTGTGTGTGTGTCTGGGGGGGTGTCAAGCAATAGAAAGGAAAATGAAAGCATAGACTAGAAAGCAACTTGGGCCTGGTCTGGAGGGGCTTTGAATATCATTTCCAGATACAATATTGGAACCAGCAGAAGAGTGTAGACAATGGAGCATGGAACCCAGTTAGTCCAGAACTACGGTCTCTCTTCCCAGCTGTGCAGAGAGCAGGCCCTGAGGGTTTCTAAAAAGGAACGCTGTAGGGGAAGCATGACATTGGAGTGTTCTTCCCCACCTCAGCCAGGGTCTGGTTTTATGGCTAGAGTTTATTTTCTGGCCATTTCTGATTGCACCATTGAAAGAAAAGGTTACCTCTCTCGAGAAATGGAGGCAGGGGAACGTCAGTGTGAACACGGGCGTGGTGACGTGCCTTGAGGTAAACTATCTGTCCTGGTTTCAGGGCAAGAGCACCAAGGAGAGGCAGCAAATCTGGACAGAGGCAGGTCGTGGAAGGCCCAGACGCAGTGTGTACTATGGCCAAAGAGGGCCGTCAGCCCAGAGCTCCAGGGAGGCGCTGTAAACCCACAGCATTTCCATGACATCATGGTGGCACAGTGCAGGAGGCTGACCACCCAAGGCCTGAGGAGCCCCAGCTTTACTCCTCATGGCGACATGAACTGGGACAAATGCTGGACCTTCCTGAGAAGTTATTTGCTTATCCAGAAAGAAGTTCACCCATGGCTAGCGCTGCGAGAGAAATATGGAAAAGGACGTAGGGAATCCTTTGAGTCAATGCAGTGTTATTATCTCTGTGAAAATGCAGCTTGTCTATGTGGGGACATTTTGTACTGTGTGGAAAAAAGTCCCCACGTAGACAGGGAAAGACCAGGAATAGGGGAGGAAAGGCCGTAAATAACTGAAACATTAAGATTGTTGAGACGAAGGAGGCTTAGAATTCAAATTTGGTAACTGACTTTTCCCAGTATTTTGGGGGTATTCATAGATAACCAAGGCATATCATTTGAAAGATGAGTCAGATGACTGTAAGTGGGATGTTTATATAAACTTTTCAGGTAATTTGAGACTTTAAATTATGCTATGTTGAATTAATAAGTATTTGTGAGATGGTTGTCATCTTTAAGCTAAAGTGTTTTGATTAGCATAAAGTGTAAAGTTTTCCACTTGTGGCTTTTAAATTTTAAATTTTTTTAGAAGAGACATTTGCTATAGTTTTGCTATAGGACATGTGTGCTGGCTAGAGAGACAGAAAGATAGAGAGACAGAGACAGAAAGTGAGAAATCCCCCCCCCCCCCGGGGATGGCCACATTGCACTCCCTTCTCTCCATTCTCCTCTCAGGATTTGGGGCATGCACACACATGCACCCAGTGAGAGTTCTAAGTTGCTGGGTCCAAGACTCGAACCACAGTCGACTACAAGTGAGTCCAGTGATGTAACCATTACACCATCTGCTGGTCTCAGCTTTTAAATCTTATACAGTCAGAAAATATTGGGTCAGTTAATAAGATTATTTTGTTCTACATGAAAAAAAATAGTTTGAAAAATATAAGCCTGTGGTATATGACAAGTCAAATTGCTTATACAAATTAAGGTTATGTAAAGATAAAAATTCTGCAAGCCAAACCAAGCTCCTATTTCTGTTGCCATCTCTAGCTTAGAGAGCTTTAATCTCCACTTGCACCTCTGGGGAGGCCTAGGAACAGGGGTGTTGCAGGTCTTCCAGGCCCATCGGCCAGGGTGACAGAGAGGACTCCACCTAGCTGACGTTTCCTTCTATACCAGGTGGGACTTGTAATAAGATCAGCCTGATGAATTTTAATGAGATGCATCTGTTGTACTGTCCAGTTGAAATGAATTCTCTTTTCTGCACTACATTCCACTGGACTGTGATAATGAAGATGATGGTGATCATTCACACACGTACATGCACGCTCACAATTTGACACACACGTCCACAGATGGCGGTCCTGGAGTTCTCTTCCTATCAGGTTTAATTTTCTTACCCTGACTTCCTTATACCTTGTATCTGGGCTTCAAGTTCAAGTTCCCTGTGGCCATCTGCCCCTGTCCAGTCTTTTCCCTCCCTTCCCTGCCAACTTGAGGTAGAATAATCCTCTTTAAAGCTTCTTCCCTAAATCCCTTCTTGCCTTATAAATTCCTGAGCCATCTCAGAATCAGAGATTTTAGAGTGAGTGAGCCCTAAGAAGATAATTATATCCCAGACCATCCGATGGCGAGGCAGACCCTTAACTATCGCATTCGCTATCAGTTTCTCAGCCCCTGATGTCGTGTCTGCTACGTCTGCAGAAGGTCTACAGTAAGAATTGGCCGAGTTGCGAAAAACCAATCTAATTCTGCCCTTTCCTTTTACAGTTCAAGGACTTGAGCCCCAGAGCAGTTAAGTGGCATGCCCAAGGTCACATGTGGGTAAATGGCAGTAATGGACCCAAATAGATGCCTTTCAGCTAGGACCAGCCAGAGACCCAGCAGCAAACGAAGGGCACTCTCCAGTCGGGATAATGAAGTTGAGGAATGTGGAACACAGGGACTGTTTACAAAGATGCAGGCTGGATGTGGGGACAATGCAATGGCTGATATAGTGTCCCAGGGCTAGCAGTTTTGGAGTTGGGGTGACTCAAGGGACCCCAAGATCAGAGGAGCAAGGGGAAAGAAAGTGACCCAGACCAGGAAGGAGGGTCTTCAACAGCCATAGCAACCAGACTTCCCTCCCTCCCTCCCTCCTTCCAGTCTCCTTTCAGGGCTCCCCATTGCTCAAACTCAATAGGAAACCGGAGGTGGGGGGTCTTGCTGGGGGAGTCCCAATAGATCAGCCTCTAGGACAGAGAGCATCTGAAGTGACGGGAAGGAACCCTCAACTAGAGATGCCATAGGGAATTGTCCAGAGGCGATGAATAAATTAACAAGCACTTCTTGAGGCCCAATGATTAGTTAGACCTTCTATGGGGACATAGGGCTGTGCCTCCGGATCCCAGAAAGTACCCTCTGACTGTTATCCCTTTATCAACCTTCATTCCATGGGCCTCCCTGGAATATCTGGTCACCTGGGTTTACATTCTGACTGCGACACCAGCTACACTAGGGGTTTGTTCATTGGCTGCTGAAAAGAGAGGCCATGGGAATGTGCTCCCAGCTGGGTCCAGGAAGAAGCCTTGGAAGTGGAGGAGGATTGAGAATCCCCACCTGGAGGGACGGCGGGCCTGGGTGGGGCTGGTCAGAGCCAGGAGACAGTGGTCACCTTCTCCACAATCTTGGCTGGGCCAGCAGCCTAGGCTGGAATTCATTCCAGCACACAAGTTATGAGGTGACAGGTTGTGGAAAGGAAGAAGCTGCAGTATTAAAAGAGGGCAAGAAAGGAGGAGAAACGCGAGAGGTGATGCCAGCCAAGGTGGAAGGTACATAGGGCCCGTCACCTGTCAGTCAACCCCCCCCACCCCGAGCAGATTCCCAGCAAAGAGACAGTGTGTGCCAGTGTCAGGAAGTGCCAGGCCTCCCTCCTCCAGAGAAGAGGAAAGAGAATAGCTGAATGACAACAAAAGGCATTCTCAAGTGAGTATTAGGATTCAATAGCTCTGATAATTTGCCAGGCAGCCGCACTGCTGAAACGTCGATTAGCATTGGTCAAGCTTCCAAACTGCTCCCTGGAATGAACGTATGCAGAATCCCAAGGCTCATCATCCTGAAATCCCAGGGTGTGTTTAATTAATGCTACTGCTATTTAAAGGACACACTATCATCTGGCCCACATAATGGGAATAGATCCAAATTTGGTTTTTAAAAGAAAAATCAATTATCTCTACTTCTGGGACTTCCTTAACACTCCATCAACTCCATTTCAGACTATAGTGGTTTGAATCTTTTGTCTCCCAGCCTTTCCAAAGAGAGAGAATTACCTTGGAAAAGTCGTTGGGGAGATAAGAAATTGCATCACGTTTGTGTTTACAGATAAGAGGGTGCATTGAGACCCAGACGTTCCTGCCTCCCTAGTATAGAGAGATTAGAAGACTTTGCAAACATCTGTGAATACTTTTCATATTTTTAAAGTGTGTGTGTGTGTGTGTTTAAAAGATAGATAGCACATTCTCCTGGTTCAAATCCGGAGAGTACAAGATTGCATGCCGTGAAAAATCGTCCTGCCATCTTTGTGTCCCCGGACCCTCTGTTGTGGCTTATAAAGCCTTCTGGAGCTTCTTGACTTAGGGCAAATACCAGTACAGGATCACAGTTTTCCCTCTTTTTCACTTAACAGGGAGCCTATTTTTCAAATGTATACATTTTAAAGTGACATTCTCCATAAAAATTTGTTACAGAGGCCAACGGTACATCTTTACCAAGGATTTTAAAAAATTAAACACACGATCTCGTTATGCAGAAGGCAGCTAGTTGTTCTAATTTGGGGCAGCATAACCACGAAGGTCCTACCAGGATTTCATCCTACCTGTCTTCGTTGTTGGAAAGGAGAACCATGAACTAGGTACATGAAATTCAAGTTAAGCCTCCATCTCGGGGCTTCGTAGCCAATGAGCAAAGCACAGTGTCCTGTGAGACCCCTGCGGACTGGCCTATCTTCTGACAACAGCAGGCATTTGCGCCAAAGACGGGAGGGAGGACAGTTAATTGAGGCAGGTGGATTTGGGCAACTCGAAGCAAGTGAGGCTTTGGAATACATCCGTACTTGCAGATGGGACAGTGGAGGGAGTTGCTCTGCAAAGCCTGTGAGGATGTGCCTGATAAAAAGGAATTTGAGGCTGGGACCGGCAGTTGGCGTAATGGCTATGTCACTGGACTCCCATGTAGTTGACTGTGGTTTGAGTCCCAGACCTGGTGGCTTAAACTCACACCGGGCACATGTGTGTGTGTGTGCCCAAGATCCCGAGAGGAGAATGGAGGAGAAGGGATTGCGGCGTGGCCATCCCCCCTGGGGGGTGATTTCTCGCTTTCTATCTCTCTGTCTCTCTCTCTCTTTCTGGTGAGTGCAAACACCCTATAGCAAAAACCTCTCCAAAAAAAAAAAAATAATAATAATAATAAAAAAGAATCTGAGGGAGGGGTGATTGTGGTTTAATTCCTATATCTGATGATGACTTGTCTGGGAAGTTGAAGGACAGATTATATTAACAGCTGGAAATACTGCAGTCAGGGTCACCCAGCCTTTGAGCTTACAAAGCAGATGGAGGCCCAGCCACTGTGGTGCAGTGGTAATGCAGTTGCCCTGCAAGGCTGGGAGCCATATGGCCTATCACAAGTTTGGCTATCCTGGTGGACCTGAAAACACGCTGGGCACATGCAGGCATCCACGATGCAGAGGAGTGGAGGGCTTGGGGAAGGGCATCGCGATGTGAAAAGACCCTGTCGCGGGTACCCCACCCCTCAAGTTTGCGTGCATATGTATATACTCTCTGTCATGGAAAAAAAGAAGATGGAGATTCTGTGTGAAGGCTCTGTATGTTTCCCCGGAAGGGGCTTCAGTGTCCCCTCATCCCTCTTGTCTGGGATCTTGGGTGTAGAACATAAACAGTGCAACTTTATGTGCATGCTGGGTCTGACCAAAAGGCATGCGTTGTGGGTCTTTGCCCAGAGGATGAGGGTGCTCCTGGGTAGTTTCTGCAGACATGCCCAGGTGTATGGCAGCATGTCCTCAGGAAAACTGTCCCTTCCAATTGTGCTTAAGGCCCAGTGACAAGGCTGTATCTGAAGTTCTAGAATGCAGTGTGGGAGGCTGGAGGAATGGGGTGACTGTGAAGAAATTGTCTTGGGAACCAGCAGTTAGCGTAATGGCTATGTTGCTGGACTCCCACGTAGTCGACCGCGGTTCGCGTCCCAGACCCAGTGGCTTAGAACTCACGCCGGGCGCGTGTGCATGTGTGCCCAAGATCCCGAGAGGAGAATGGAGGAGAAGGGATTGCGGCATGACCATCCCCCCTGGGGGGTAATTTCTTGCTTTCTGTCTCTCTGTCTCTGTCTGTCTGGCGAGCGCACGCGCCCTATAGCGAAAATCTCTCCAAAAAAAAAAAAAAAAGAAATTGTTTTGAGA